AAATGCTAAATAAAATTTGGAAGTTCTGCATGCTGACTACAGGAGATTATAATAAATAACGTGGCTCTAGGAAATAATCCAGTGCTGGCTATATTCCAGAGATCTTTCAGTACTATCCTGAAGTAGGCTAATTTATCTGATTTTTCACCTTAAAAAAAAAAACTCAAAATAACAGAATTTATGCTCTATTTGCACTTGTATCTTTAAAAAGTCACATATAAATATTTATAATCAAAAAGCAACTAACCTTTTGCATTCACCAGAATGTTGCTTTGCCTTTATATTCTAAAGTGTGCATTTTTTAAAAAAGCTATGATAAACGACTAATCATTGCTTCACTGCTAAAAACTGCCTCTTCTTCCTCCAGTACTGATGCCTGCTCTGTCACCCTGAGCCTGCTGGCTGCCCCGCAGCCCTCAAGACCCATGCCGTGTCCCAGCCAGCCTGCTGGAGCTGCTCTTCGGTTTCCAGACTGCCCCTTCTTCTGATTTACTGCAAGGATAAGATGGCCTGTTCAGTCAGCGCTCACTAATCCTGTTGCTCAATAATTTCTCTGAGCTGCAGCCTCTTCTCTGTGCCACACTGAATGTAGGAGAAGCTCCTCTGGCACTTGGGCAAACAAGGCGGGGGCTGGCATGCCACGCTGCCACCGACGCACGTCACCTAAGGCAAGATGATGCCACTCCTTCAGCCCGGAATAAAGGTGGCAATTTTGTGAAAAGATGAAACTTAGTGAGCACCACAGGCTTAAGTCCATAATACTTCAATCCACCTGGATAAATGATGAATTTCAGAGGAAGCTTAATATTCCTTAAGTTTCTTGATAAAAACTTTGCACTCTTTCTGATGGTCAATTGCTGTGCAAATGAGAAGCAGATGGGCTTTCACAGCTCCTTCTCTCTATGTCAGTAGGGCTACAAGTGCTGAAGCTTGCAGAAGGGTGTGTAGCTTTGGGGAAAAATCAATGCATCATGAAGAGCAAAAGGGAGAATCTTCTCAATTTTAATTATAAAATGAAAAGTTTCTGTGAGCTAGCAAGACAGATCACTGCATCAGAAACTCATGCATAAGAGCTACCATGTCCATATTTGTGTTATTTTGTTCAAAAATCCTTCCCAAGTTATATAACCCCTCTATATGCTCTCTCTCCACACCTGCTAGCAACAGAAGTGTGAGCTAATCCAATGCAGCCCTATGCTTCTCACAGTTGCTTAAAATACTTGTGTTAGAGTGTGGATTTGGCTACAATGCACCAGAAAACCAACAAATGCCCCGTTTCAGAAAAAAAAACAAGTGCATGGAAAAATCACAGCCTGCAGATTTAAACATAACGACTCAGACTTTAACCTCCACTGAAATCTGTTGGGATAGATTTAAATAGTTTGGGATTAGGCCTATAAGTATCTGCAATGTCACTGGGAGGAGGACAGTGATGAGAAGAGAGCAGTTTCTTCCTGGAGATCAGTCTTTGATGATGGGAATTATTACAGCACCAGATACTGGTAAAAATATCACTTTGGGCCTTAAAAAGATAAAAATCAGCCAATTTGTTAAAAATACACTGGCTCCATTTAAAAAAGTGCATATATCACGTGGCTATTGGAAATGATGCTTTAGTGTTAATACACCAACTAATAAAAAAGTTACCATAAAAAGATTTGCTGACCAAATAGCAATTGTCTCAGCTACTAAGACATTGGCAGTCCTTCCACAATTCACTTAAAATAAATGAACTTGTCCTTGTACTTCTTAAGCCAACTCTGTGGTCTAAAGCAATACTTTATAGGGTCAGTAGGGGAGCTTAATCTCTCCCTGATTTGTATCAGTGCCTATCACCACACAATGCATTTGTCTCTGCAGAGGAGAAAAGAATTTAATGATCCCTTGCACATACCTTCTTGGATAGGTTTAAAATTGCGTTGGGAATAGAAAAGAAAGTGGTCTCTGCTTTCCAGCTCCAAACAATTCTCTACAGGAAGCTCCCATTGATCTAAGATATACGCTCTGGTAGCTTGACTGAATTTTGTGTTGAATAGCTTGTCTGTAGCTGACACATATATCCAACACATTGGCCAATTTATGTGCCTTGGAAGATCATTGCTTCTTTTAGCGCATTACGGCCAATAGAAAACACAATGATAATTTGCATGCACTGCCATTCCTTATGCTAGCAGCATCAACCTTCACACAAGACAAAACAGAACAAGTTGTCTGAATGTCCTCAAACAAAAGTACAGAGTTAGGGGAGAAGGTCAGGGTTTGTTACTATATTTTTTTTTTTGGCTTACAAGAAGAACCAAAGTCAAAGCAGTATCGGTTAAAAAAAAAAAAAAAAATCACAACTTTACTTACTAAGTGTTCTTCCCTGAACTAAATATTTAAGAAAAAACATGAAGAGTCAGTTGTGCTGAAATTCCTCAAGTGTTGAAAATGTCATCAAATGAGATACAAAAAAGCTGCACAATCCAATATTTAAATGCTGGGCTGGGCTGAAATTCATTTCCTAAATATAAGGAAAAAATTTTTTACGCTGAGGGTGGTGAAACACTGGAACAGGTTGCCCAGGGAGGTTGTAGATGCCCCATCCCCGAAAACATTCAAGGTCAGGTTGGACAGGGCTCTGAGCAAGCTGATCCAGTTGAAAAGGTCCCTGCTCATTGCAAAAGGGTTGGACTAGATGACCTTTAAAGGTCCCTTCCAATCCAAATCATTCTATGCTTCTATGATTCTATGTTCTGTCTTGAAACAAACAGTGAACTCAGCTAAAGAACAGTGTATTAGGCATCACTTTTTCTCAGCATTTATGATTGATTGTTCAATACTAAGGACAGTGGCTTCTTGAGCAACACACCCTAATTAGCTGCTTTCCCAATTATAAGCCATCTGTGTTTGCTCTACGTAATCTAGTCAGATGCCACATCCCCTGATATTGTTCTAAGAATTGAGAACAAAAAAGTTATTCTCAGAACCTATCCAAATGGAAGAACACAGCTTTGACCCCTCGAGCAAGAACTGTGGTCCAATGAGCACGCTGACCTCAATCAACTCAGACCTTGAGCTGAAGACACCAAGAAGACAGGGTACAGCTGGCACACATATATGAACTCAGTGACAACTCAGCATTTCCACCAAACTGGCCTGGAGAATAAGTGAGGGTCCTGCAGTCTCCATTGCTCTAACTTCCACTTTTTACACTCTTACACTGGAATTTAACTACCTTGTCAATGGGACTCCAATTTACATTCTCCATCCTTTGGTTCCAGGGAGTTGGCCACTTAAAAAGTTGTTTAATTTTTTTAAATGGCTCTTTAAATAACCTAGATGAAATTAGGAATAATTTTTCAAAGGACATTTTCATTTTTATTTTTTGATCTAATCATTTTTCTGGTAGTTTGTCAAGAGAGTTATATGTGTGCATGTTAGTTACAAATTGATTTATGTACTGGCATCAAATTAACAGAACTGGAAGCTAAAAGGCTTTTGATAATATTAAGAATATCAAAAAGGCAATATCAGAGTAAACTTCACAGTATGCTGTACCAGAACTGTATCTTAATTGGAAGGAGAAGTAGTCATGCTGTATGACAAGCTCAGTGTCCATATGCTCATTCACATTTCTTGACCTTTGTCAAGACTCCCAAGAAAAACAACTTCGTAAGAAGCCTTATGATGTGAGCGCTTCCCCATTAACATCTCGATGGAGAATTCCCAACTCAATTCACAGGCGGTACATTACAAAAACATACTGCAGAGGATCAGGGTTTCAAACTCTGCCAACATGGTCAAAGAGTCAAATAGAGGTTTGAACTCCACACATCTCACATCCCTGACTTACCAGTTCCCTGAGCCATCTAATACGCATGGAAATTCTGTGTAGCCGGTTAAAAAAAAATAAGTATTTGAATTCTCATTTCCTCTCAATTAGAATTAATCTACTTGAGTAAGTTAATAAGGTTTCATAAAATGGGATGGTTTGTGTAACTTCTAACACAATTAAATATTAATAAACTCCTGTGGGAGCAAGATCAATGGAGTACAAAACATCTTCCTGAATTTTATCTTACAACATTTCATTTTAACCATATATATATTTCTCTATACTCTGTAAGAAGTTTTATACAGCAGTAGAAGAGTGACAAAACCACACAGAAAAATCTCAACATCTACAGAATAAAGAAGTGTGTGCATCTCATGCTCAATTTCAAGCATGGATTCCACTGTGGCCTAAAATAAATAACTATCACATATGCGATACATGTCCATAATCAACCTGAAATATTATATATAGTCCATCTAGATAGTGATTAACCTAAAATTCCCCTCCTCTGGCCCTACTTGCAACAAAACCAAAATGCTATAAAACCAAAAGGTAATCACCTGTCTTAAATGACAATATTAAATTACCTGTAGCCAGTTTCTTATATAATTCTGCCTGACCTTTTGTGAAAGAACATTTCTAGGTGTCTGGTTTTTGCTGGTCTCTTGGGTCTAGTATGAGTTTTCCCTTAATTACAGAAGAAGAATCATAAATCTGAACCTCCATTTCTAGCACGACAATGTCAGTTTGAAAGTACATTCTTTTTGAGATAGAGGTGTTAGAAACACTGGTCAAAACAAACACCAGGCAATCATTCTTGAATTTCTAGCGGTTTGGTGTAAAAGATAGACTATAAATAACTTTTAAATTTTTTAATTTTTTTTTAATGTTTACATTTTTTTAAAGTTTTAAATAACTTCTTTTTAAACATTGATACGAAATATCTATGTTTTAAAAAAAAAAACCACAACTAAAATAAAAAAAAAACACCTGCAACTGAAAAATGAAAACGTTCTGGTTATCAATTTCCCAAAATATTTCAAGGAAGTCTAAATTCCTTCATTCCTTAACCCAAATATTTCATTCCCTGACCAGTTCTTTCACTGACATGTTTACAGGAAGGTTCGTTTTCTTTACAGATTTCAAAATATTCATTAGAAGGAAGCACTGCAGTAAAACTTACATTGACATTCTTTGCAGCACTTGCCATCCACATACGCCAGCGCAGAGTTAAGCGGGCAGTCAGAGAGGGGGCAAATCAAAGCCTCGCACTGCACAGTACCATTCTAGAAGAACAAAAGGTGTTTAACTGGTAGATATATTTAGCAAGAGCAGAGATGTTCTCAAACACAGGAATTTAAAATCTATTTTTAAATGCAATGAACTCCCTAACAATACCCAAAAAGACATTTTAACGTGGTTCTTTTAATAACTACAAGAACAGAAACTATACGTTTAGAATATCATCCAGGCAATCTTTCAGACATGTATGATGTGTTCTTTGAGATTATAATGATCTAAGATTTTTTTAGAGGCAAATCTATTTGGAGGTAAAACATTCTGCCAATCAGCTGCAAACTGACAGATTAGTGTGAAATAACAACCTCACAGAACAATACCTTCTGATTTTTACATAAGAGGCAATACGTTTATAAAAGGTAATAATATCATAGCTGCAAGAAAAACCTGAGACAAAAATACGTAATGCATTTAACACTAAATTCAAAGCATTTTAAATAGCTATCAGCCAGGTTTAATACCATGGACTGTCGTCTTCTCGTCAACCACAAAACTCTAAAAGCAAAACTAACATCCCTCCAGAAATATAAAGATCAAAATAAGACTAAGCTTAAGGAGAACCATTTAGCAAATTATAGATAGCAGCAAATCAATCTAAGGTGCAATACAGACAACAACAGCCTTTTCATCGTTTCCTAATGGCCTTCGGACTAGGCATTTAATTACTTCAAATGGAATTAATGAGCTTTAAATGAACGGACAATAACAAATATGCCATGGTTTGGTACCTGAAAGGATACTTGCAATTGCTTCTGGAGTTGTGATACCTTTGGGAATCTTCCATCCACCTAACAAATCTTTTTCATTTGTGATATAACAGAGCATGCATATGACCCTGACATTTTACTCTTTATTACTTATTGAATGTAACCAAAGGCAACTAAAGGGAATCAGGCACAAGGGATGTATTAAATCGTTTGCTAAGAAAAAGGCTGTGTTTATAGTGACAAAAAGCAGGGAATTAATTATCCAGAGAAACCATTTGCAACTCAGTGCATGGGCATAACATGACAGCTACGTATATTGCATAGCATCTGCCTTTGGTGATATGAAATATAGGAGAGCTACACATGCTGGCACTGCTGAAACAATAGGAAAATGTATTTATTAATACTATTCCTTAGATTTAGAACAGGTTTTCTAGCACTTTGTTGTTACTACCTAGCATACACCTGGAAGTTTTCTCATTATTTGCCTCAATAAAACTGTAATCACAGGAAGCACTAGAGTTCCCGAGTCTCCACTCAAACTGTAGCCGTACCATGCAAGTGCAGTTCTTACAGCCATCTGTCCAGGATTCAAACTCTCTGTAAGTCGTGCCTTTCATTGTGCAGGTCCTTTCACAGTAGCACTGATCCAACTTGTTCATCCTCTGCTCAGCTTGGGACAACTGTATTTACAGTTCACAAAAAAGTTTTGAATTTGTAAGTGGTTTCCACATTAGTATAAACATGATTGAAACTGTCCCCCTTATCATCAAGCATGCAGATGAGAGAATACACATAGGAAAATGCAGTCAAAGATAATAAGACAGTTATTGTCAAATACAATATGATTAAACCATCAGTCATTCAGAGATGGAAATTGAGAAGCAAGACACAATGCATTTCAGCTTTCTCTAACATCAGGGAGATCGTGAAACAAAGTGAGTAGGTCAAGATGGGTATGGCCCCTGATTTCTCATCTTTGTATGTAGGAACTGACCAAGAATCTTGCTCTACGTAAACTACTTGCACATATTAGGTTATGCACAAAAGACCTGAATCTGAGTAGAGAGGCAAAATTGGAGATAAAGCTCAAAACCAACATGTTAGCAATTGTTTCTCCACTTCAATCAAGGCATTGTTAACATTTGTGTATCAAATCAGCCAGGTAACAGCATTCCTGTAGACATCTAAAGAACTGACATTTAAAACCAGAAGACTAGTCTATGTTCACCAGCAGACATGAATGCTTTTGGTGTGATATTCCAGGGGAAAAAAAGAAGAAAATGCTGCTTTGGATTCTTAATTCCTTGTTTTGCATATATTTTGTCTGAACATGCCTTTGGCAGCTCAGGTCTAGAAAAGTCTTGGACCAATAAGTCTTGCTGCAATAAGCACTATAAGCACAGCAACCTATTTCATTCTAGCTTTACTGACTTGTTAGCCTAATAGATAGAGCTTGAATATCTATGAGCCTTTCCTTGCTCAGGGATTTGGATTCTGTTTACTATTAAAAGATACGATTCTATAAAAATATTAAAACACAAGAAAGCTCTCTGAACTGGGAATTTGTATGTATAGACACTAGGCACAGATAAATAAATACAAACATATAAACATACCATGCAGGGATGTTCCACACACACCCATGTGCACATCCCCACATATGCACAAATAATCTAAAAAGACAGCAATTAAAGCCTTAGACTCCTCGTTTCTCCCATGCCATGACTCCTAGTAAACATTACCTTAGCTGATGTTTTGGCTAAAATGTCTTGCAGTTCCATAATTTTCTGCACAAGTCCATGGAAGTCATTACAAGTTGGGCATGCTAGAAAAACAAAATATGTATATTAATTAAAAAAACCCCATGTCTTCACAATAGGTTCAATCATGTCAAAGTTGACAACCAATACACTGAAACTCAAGGTTTTAAGAAAGCTTGTAGGACAGAAAGTACGTACAAAGCACACCTTTCATTTTATGGTATAAGAATTAATAGACTTACTGCGATTAAGATCTGGGCATTGAGAAATAAATCCTTGAGGCATGACAAGTAATTGCACATCTTGCATTATGCCCTATGTGTAAGTGGAGAGGAAAAAAAAGGACACATTATTTTTACCTGTCAAAATTATGTTTTCCATTCACCACGTAAAACATTAAAGCCCACACAGAAAAACTGCCTGATAAAAACAAAACTTATGAATACACAGCTTCTTGCCTGGAACCAATGTAGTGATAGAAGAATAAAGAGAAAGTAAACTAGATAGATGTACAAATACAGACATACTGAATCATTTTTGAAGACATAGGAACCAAATCATTTTTAAAGACATAAGATTAAATGTCAAGATGTAATTATGTGGCAAGAGTTTGGTTGTTTAGAATTCATTGTTATTTTCAGTTAGCCATTGCAGAAAAGCTTGAAAATGACCTTTAAAAGTAATTTGAAAAACAGCTGCAGTTTCAGTTACTTTGAAACACTCTTAAATAAAATGCAAATTTTTCACTAAGCTGTAACTGTCAAATAGAAGTAAAGATTAAAGAAACTTGAGTCAGGAAAAACACATTCATGCAAACCCTTTATGATATCAATGGGGATCTTTTCATAAAGCATGTGGAATGCCAAGAAACTACATGTCTGTTACACAGTCACATGTTGGCAAGAGCTTAGGGGAAGGGGAAGTTTAGTGTGAAATTCAGCTATGCCATCTGGAAAGGGCCAGTTTCACCCAGAAGAATAGATCCCATGCTTGCAGGCAGAATTTACATGCATCCTTAGTCATTAAGATATAATTAGCAGCCACTTTGCTGGTCTCCAAAAGCAAAGGCCAAATAACAATTTCAAAGTGAGCCATCCTATCATATTCGCTCCAGATGTCCCTTTCATCCATGACTCCCTCCCTGCATCTCCAAAACTCCTTCTTAGGAGGAAAAGCAAAATAATTACAACATGCGTCAGCATGCTTATGAAGAGAATGTTTCACGAAACTAAGAACACAATGCAAACTAAATGCAAAAGTTCACATTTCATCCACGTACACAGGGCATTCAATACAGATGTTGCAAAGTCAAAGAACCAGAATTTTGACCGCAAGTGAATGACGCAGGGTGACTTAGCAACCTAAGTGACCTACAGAGAAGAGTAGGTGTCACTGGAGGGCAACGAAGAGAGTACTTAAGTACCATGCCTACCTTTCTCCCTTAACAACTACGCTATGATCTAGGACAACTGGACACTCCCCCACGCTGCACGAGGAGCTGCAGCGATTAGCTAACAGTGAAAAAATAGGTGTGCCTGAGACAGGGCCCCACATCAGGACCTCCCACAGCACGTGTTCTGGAAGTCAGGAGCAAAGACCTCTACACCAAAAAGCTCACTGCATTAATTTCTCCTCCCTTCCTTCATCGGCGTCATCAACTTCAAACTCATGTCAACCCAAGTTATGGCATTTTCATGAAAAGGAGGAATGGCAGAGTCCAACCCATTCAGGTTTAAAACACTCTTCACTAAACACACAGGCAAGTATTCAAATGATTTAGCAGTTAACCAACAGTAAAGCTCCTCCAACTATTTGAGGAGCTTTATTTATCATACATCAGCTGTGATATGAGCTGACTCTGCCACTCACCAGGAATTCAGGTTCCTTCTCATTCTCCCAAAGTAACAACAGGGAGCTGTGACATCTAGCCTACCTGGGCTCCCAAATCAGGACCTCCTGACAGCGCATGAGAGGCTTTGCACAGGCTCCTAAAGAACCTAGTGGTTCAAATTAACACACTGCTGGATGCTAGGTACCGAGAGAAGTTACACGGTACCAGAAATCAGATAGCCAGAACTGCTCTCTCAGACTTCAGACCCTGAAGTGAAACAGGTACAAATATATCCCAGTGTGAATATGCCTACTGGCACATTGGTTTAGTGCAGCAATATTAGGTTCAAAATCAAACACAGCCAAATAAAATCTTTTTCAGAGTGACTAATGATTTTGAGTACCTTGACCCATCTGGACAATCCATTTAATCCACTCAAAGCAGCCTGATTTTCGGAAATAGCTAAGCACCTGGACCTCTCAAAATCAGATCAGTAGGAGTTGTCCTACAGTGAGTGTCTAAAAATATAGGCTCTCCAAAACACTAAGAAGTGTTGAAAGTCCTCATTTCTAAACTGATGAATCTCCTGTACAACAGTGTCATTTTCATTTTCAGATGCAGTTTGACCATTGGTACTATATTATGCTGGAGAAATCACTTAGCACAGTATGTTTTGGCTATATCGATGCTCTTCTAAGAGCTATCCATTTTTGTATTTCTGTTAAGCTGGTTTATATTTGTAACTGAGGCAAAATTCTCCATGTATTTTGTTTAATTTTATCTTTCTTGAAAAGAAAGAAAAAAAAAAAAAGTCCACTACTGGAGCATTTATTTTTCTACACCTAATGAGCTTCTTCGTAGTGACTATGATTTGGCAAAAAGAACATAATCAAGTCAAAAACTGAGAAGGCACAAAAAAATAAAGGAATATTAAAAAAAAGTATTAATTATAAGCACGTAGAATAAATGAAGTGTATCTGAGATCAGTTTAAGCACTGCATTTATAGTTTCTGATTTTATTCTTGGAATCAACTGTTTATTTAAGCCAGAAATATAATTTTGCAGCTTGTTTAGCAGACATCCTTTTAGCCTTCTGGAGGAAAAGGAAACACATATTGAATTGAAAAATAAAAACGAAGTCATGCTTCAGTTTTCAAATCTGAGTGCCCCACTGGACTTCATACACAACAAGGATATAAACTAGCATTTAAGTATAGCAAACAGTATTTCAACACCCAAAAACTGATTTTAGCACAAAAGCACAGAACTTGCTGTGAAAACCATAGTCGAAGTGTTTTATGCTGAAAAAAGATTTAGCAGGCCGTATTTTAAAAAGTGATTGGGTCTGTGATCAACATCATCAATTCTGTTTTGCAGCTCAAGTAAAAAGATGCCTACCGGGTGGAAAATGGGACTGCAGTGTGGAAGGCATCCACAGGGATGCCATCATTTGTTAAAGCAGCTCCAGAGAAGATTGAGGCCAAACCACAGATAGTGGCTTTGACCAATGAGTGCTACCTAATGGACTCAGAGGAATCAAAATTTACACTCCAGTTCAACACAGCATTCACTTTTTCAATCTTGCTATACACCAGGTGCTTGTTATATATACATGTTAAAGCAGAAGCAGTAAGCAAAAAGCACATACAAATATTCTTCCTCTGGGGGGAAAAAGCATTCCCTTCATTGATGCTAGTCATCTCATTCATTTCTGAGCCGAGAAGATACTGTGATGAAATCTAAATCCTACCAAGGCAATGAAATTGGAGTTCTGTAGTGTTCTGTGACACACAAAAAATGCATCCAGCTATGAAACAGACAATAATCTGACCATTTATTTCCTGAAATTCTGTCGCACTTGGCCATTTACCTTTCCCTGTCTTGGGCTGCTGTTGGCTGTGTCATTTGGTGACACTGAGCCCTATGCTTCTGGCTCTGCAACTTTATTTAGTGAAGTCCAGTTTGATGGAAACACAGCTCACTGCATCAGATATGCTGATACACAACACACCACGGCCCTAAGAACTGTGTTATGATTACAGAAGCACAGACTGGTTGAGGTTGCAAGGCACCTCCTGAGATCACCTACTGCAACTCCCCTGCTCAAGCAGGATCAGTCACAGCAGGTTGCCCAGGACTGTGTCTGGATGGCTTTTGAGTATCTCCATAGTAGTCTTACTCTGACCAACCTCACAGTAGAACTGTTTTCTTATGTTCAGATGGAATTTCAGGTGTTTCAGTTTTTGCCCATTGCTTCTTGGTCTGTCAGTGGGCATTACTGAGAAGAGTCTGGATCCCTCATCTTCATTCCCCCCACACATTCAGGTATTTATACACATTGATGAGATTTCCCCTGAGCCTTCTCTTCTCTAGGCTGAACAATCCCAGCTCACTCAGCCTCTCCTCATATGAAAGATGCTCCAGTCCCTCAATCATTTTTATTTAAGTTCAGTCTTTTCCTTTCAGGGAATGCATACCTTAAAATAACCATGTGCATTATTCCTCTGTCCCAGCCAAAAGGTTGTACCCAAAGGTAAGTCCATGAAGGGCTTCTCCACAACTCTTTCATAAATTCTGGAAAGGAAGGAAAAAATAAAGTCCCAAGTTGTTATCATTTCATTTACTCAGAGCTGGAATGTTCCAAATGTGACAACTTCCTATGAAACAACACTCTTTACTTACTTATTGCAGTCCACATGTAAAATCAAGTGAGAGGCACTGATTGCTAAGGAAAGCCTGTGCCATTTATCATCTGCCAAAATGTATGGGAATACTTCTGTGTGGGAGCGATGACTGCCGGAACGATAATGCAACCTGATTTCATTTCGATGACCGCTGCTTTCCAGCTCCAGGTACCTGTACCATAAATGCACCATCATGTCATGAACCATTCTTACTAGCACAGCAACATTTTACATAATACAACTTCTCGTTATCATGCAGGAACTATTTAAAAGAGGGGAAAAGACAAGCAAGGAGATACAAAGACGAAAGTAGACACTATCCAGATTTGCACTGCATTCTTCTTCTCAATAACACATAATAGCAGGTTCCAACTTTCATGTAAGTACACAAGATCCCAAGCCAATTATTTTTTTTCCTCTAGCAACACTATTTTCCATAACATGATCTGATTGGAAATATAATTACCCTATTATGAATAATTGCCTCATAACCTGAAAGCACAGTAAGGATACTCTGAAGGCATGAATGCACAAAAGACAACACCAAGTTTTGCAATAGGGACATCATTAGCCATTACCAGCCAGGGAAGTAAGCAAGAACTGAGACTGGACACTGCTTTGTTTGCTTTCGGATGTACTGTTAACATCTCCTTTCATTTTTCGTAGTGCAATTTCTCAAAAGAAAGACAAAATCAAGAAGTGCTAACTCTTCAGAACAATTTATATATGTGTACATATTTACTTCATTAAATAAGTATGTGTATTTGCGGGGTGTGTGTATATACATACACAAGTATGTATATGTATGCACATATATGTATGTACGTATATACACGGTAAAAAACCAGCATTGCAGCTGTACCAACATAAGTGCACCATACACCAGATTTGCAGATTGCAAACACAAGCTTTGCTGGTGAAATTCCAGCAGATCAATTTAAAAAGCACCCCATAACCAAACTTCGTACTTAGTCAGACAGGCCTGCTTCGTGCCTATCGGACCTCTTCTGGGAACAGGCTTGACACACCATTTGTCTTCTAAGTACTAAGTTTCTCATTTTAAAGTCCCCCCCTAAAATGCTTTTTAAGACAGGAAAGAAAAACAGAAATGGAGATTCTCTAATAATCATATGCAACCTACACCTAAAGAGCAAGGAAAATAATATAGTATGTGGTAAGACGCACAACAACTGGGAGAATGGACAATTCATTTTTGTCTATTTTTGCTGCTACATCTGCAATTAGGCATGACAGTGGTTTGTAATCTGAGTGTACCCATGTTTTAGGGTGATGTCGTTTATTTTAACAGGCTATCTATATTAAAGAACAGACAAAACAATGATTGCAGTTTTCAAGAGTGAAGATGAGACCAAGTCAAAACCATCTTGTACAATCATTATCCCTAGGAGGAGGTTGGGCTCACTGCACGTCTCCTTCCTTCAGGGTGTTTCATGGTGGAACATTCCACTTTTCCGTATTTGCTTAACTGCCTGGACTTACACAGCTCTGGCTCAGTCTTGTGAGCTTCAGAAGATGGGACGAGCCTCAGCACTGACAAACAGGTATGGGTGGAAATGCGAAGTCTGACCACAGAGAGGCTTCTCATGCTGTCTGTGAGGCTGTAACAAAGCACACACTTGGGCACGCACTTTCCAAAGGTTTGGAAGAGTCTTTGAGAAAGTAAGCTAAGCATTAACAAATACATCTGGATTTTAAAAACTCATTTCTAGTGACAAAAATACTCTAAACTTCTCTGTATGCTCAGGATTACTAATCTTTTGAGAGAGAAAAGAGGGTGATCTTGTTTCCTGAAGGACTTACTCCCAAAGGAAACAATAACTGCATTGTACTGCAGTCTCCTCCTAACCAAGAAACTCAGTATTGAAAAGTTCCAGGGGAACCTCATCAGCTGAATCACTGGTTTCTTGTCCACACCATGCCAGCCCAGCCCACCCATCACATGGAGAGCATCAGTCAAAGAATTCCCATTACTAATATCACTACTACTTCCCCCAACAGCTCCAAGGCACTCGTCTATGCTGTGAAAAGCAAGGCTCTAAGTAAAAAATAAACCACAATGAGAAACACAGTACCACAGGAGAACCTGCTTCCCCCTTTACTAATGTCCATGACCTCTGTGGTTGTTTAATCAATACCAGCCTACCTGATTTTAACCCCCCAAAAACCACACACACTTTGGGTCAAATGGATTTAACTTAGTAGGGAGATGATACGTGCTTAGGTTTACTATGTTTGACATACGGAGAAGAAAATATCAACCTGAAAAAAGGTTGTTGCATCTCCGCAGATCACTCTGTGCACGCACAATCATTGCAAAGGCAACAGCCAAGGCCACCGTAAGATCAGTCGCTCTACTTGGAAACCAGCCAGACAGCGATCCCTTATTTACTGACTAAGGCTGAGCCTATTTTCATAAGAGGAAGAAATTTGTCTCAAATGTCCCAGAGGAATTTGAGACAGAAAACAGCAATGTTTTCTCTGCTCTCCAGCACTGATCCATCATAACTGCTGGATAAGAGTTGAGAGTCAGCAGATCTGCTCAGCTGCGGAGCTGCTACCGCCCGTCCCAGCGAACGGCACGAGCCTGAGCAGGACCTGCTCTTCAGGCTGCGACAGACCAGCACAGCGGAGACTGTGGAAGTAGAAGTCAGGATGTACAGCAAAAAGCTGGAGATTTAGGAGGTGAAACACCAGGTGGTCCTGGTGTACGCAGTAGCAGTCTTTGAGAAGAGGGAATGCCAAGTCTTTGGTGGCTCACTCGCTCATTTGGCATCTCTGCTCACATAGCAAACACACTGTAGCTGCCCACTCTTACTCCAGGCAACTAATAAAAATCAACTTTAATTTACAGCATGTAGACAAATATTTTAGAAGCTAAGGCAAGATATCATGTCTGCTGCTTATGAATTTATTACAGGGTGGGGGTTTTTTTAAACTTTTACTACTCACATTTATAGGTATAGTGTTAAAAGTTTTCTTCATGGCTCGTTGATCTACACTAAGAAGAAAAGGAAAATCAATAAAATTAAAGAGAAGTATGTACTTAAGAAAAAAATTAAAATCCTTATCTCCATTACTTATAAAAATCTTTATCTGAAGATTTTTGATACAAAAGTTCTGGCTTTTTTGTTAGGTATAATTACATAAAACATTAAAAAAAAAAAAGATCCTACTCAGTAGACCCTATTCATTGCAAACTACGGCTACAATAGCAGTAAGCAATTCTGCTGGGTGTAGATTATGAAGATGTAAAAGCAATTCACGCCGCACAGCCACCACATTCAGCAACGCATTATTTGCTATTTTCCATGGTATGATGACTGGGCAGTCAGGAGTGTGAGCCTTATTTTTCTATTTGGAAGTAACACTTAAAGTGTTCTGAAACATTAACTAGGAGTTTTTACCGCTTGGTGCATCCCCTAGAACAATATGGCATCAAAATATCCCCAGATGGATTCTAAATGCCAAGTGGCAACTGCACTATATCTGTAAAAACCTAGTCCCCTCCTCTCACTTACACTACTGCTTGGCCTTACTGGCTTTGCCCTTTTCCCTGACTACCTAGAGCTATACCTAGGCAAGAGATGACTGGCAGTTTTGCCAGGGAGTGATAAATAAAGAAAATCATCTTTACTTTTCTGGATAAGTTGGTAGCACTTAGTGCAAGTGCACAGTGGGCAGGAAAGCCACCCATTCAGTTTCTGTCCCTTTCTTTTGCTGAATACAGTTTTAGGGCCAGACAAGAATTTTCTGACATAGGATATTTTTGTTCAAAAATTATGATCCATTCATTAAAACCAAATCTTTTGATAGAAACAAATATTCTCGCAGCTAGGCTTGTGGGGTCCAGGATGAAATGCTTGTTAAAATGAGAGACAGAGAGAGCAAATCTAAGACTCTCTGAAAGACCTTCTCAAATCCTCTTTAATGCCACAGTTATTACCCATTTGAAAGCAGAGATCCCAAGTGAAGAGAGGTCGAAATCAGAAGAGGGTATTTCCCATATCAAAACAGAGTGCACAAACAATGGGACAGTAAAACCAGTCTCCCAGGTCAACCTGATTTGGCTCTTCCATTACGCAGAATTCATCAGTGAAAAAGAGTAAGTCAGGTACAAGAGCAACCTAAATTCAGTAAGTTGATTTCAAGTCCTATGCCTATACTAATAAATAAAGCCAGCAAGACCCATTCCTTTGCCCTGAAGACAAATATTAACAGTGGTGCTCCACTACAACTCGCACCCATATGGGTGCTCTCTCCCGCTTTTTTCCTGAAATGGGTGGTTTTTTCCACGCTACCTGTTGGGAACAGTCCCTGGCCAATGCTACTCCACAAACCCTGCCATTAGCAAGGGTGCTAATTGCAGGAAACAAAAGAATGCCAAGGAAGATGCTAACAATTATGCAGAATGGACAACAGCAGGCCAGTGCTCCAGCCTGGGCCCTGTTTGGTTTACTAGCCTAGCCCTGGCCAGGCACTGCCAACAAAGCTTTGTAATGCATCAAGTGGGGAAAACAAAAGAGAATGACACTCCTCAGGACACTTGTCTCAGATGGAAAAGAACCAAGTTCAAGTCCCTGCTCCAAATCAGGCAGAGCAGAGATTAATGGTGCGAGAAAAATGCCTCTGAAGTACCACAGCCAGCGAGCTACTGATCATTCTGGCATTTACATCTCTTCTGCTGTTTATTTTCTTCTACCACAAAAAAGGTCAACCATTTCAGCTTTGTTCCAGCACAAAGACTGCTCATTGCACTGGATAGCTATGGAGGACAGCTGGAGAGGAGGAAGGTGCATTCCTGATGTGCACAGGGGACGGAGCCCCATGCTGGGACATGCAGTGAGGAACACCCTCCACATCGGGATGTTCATGGGAGAGAACAGCCAGGTGACAGGTGACTGGAAGGGCAGAGAGACACCATGTCTGTACCCGACTCAAACTAATAAAGCATGTGGGAGAAAAATATGTGTCAATAAGATCTTGTTTCTATCAACGTCTTGCAGCCCCTCATCTGACTTCAGTGGGGCTGCTGTGATCTGGAAGACTTCGCTGGCTTTGAAGGCAAGAACTTGCCTCTCACCTGAGAGATCTCTCTGCTCACCTCCCAGACTTTAAGCTCAGCTATGCCCCTAAATCAGGGTAGCAAAATCT